GGCACAGTCCTCGACTTCACCCCATAAAACACGACAGAATGATCAGAAACGGGAAAGAGAGTGACTTCGCGCTCCTGGAACTGGATATCAGCTCGATAGAGAGTGAGCCAGTCCATGCGCAAGATCACATCGAAGTCCCGCATTTCAATAACATACACGTCGGCCTCTAGAACTCGTCCACCGATATTAATATGATGGTTACGAACCAGAAAATAAGAAATAACTGAAATTTGATACTTGACCACCAAGTACCCAGAGTTGCACGTAAATTGAATAAACAGACTATAATGAAGATTCAAACAATTGCGGAAGCAGTTTTTCTCTAAAAACTGAATCTTCAGGAGAGCGTCCCACTCTCCCTTCAGATCTCTTTCATTAATGTGAACAACTCATACATCATCCAAGGGTTTACAATATAGACTTTCTCTACACTCTACATGAATGATGATTCACACAACTACTTATCTGACCACAACTCCCTTGTGGATTTTCTAGTTCAAACCCCTCAAACTATAAGAACGAACCTCTGAACGTTCTTTTACAAAATATTCTAAGTATCACTCTTTTTACTCCTGAAAGAAAAGAAAATAACTAAACAAAAGATATCAAAATCCATCCTCAACTCTGGTCTCGTCCTCCTTTTATCTTCAGCATTCTTTTTTGGAAAATCTTCTCATCCAAGGCAAACGCATATAAGGAATGATACTCTTGCGATTCTCCTTTTATAATTATGGAAGGTGAATTTTTCGATTCTCCTTTTCTTTAGAATATGGAAAGCGTATGTCCCCCTCAATCCCAAGGTCCTGCCATAATAAAACGTAAATAATCAGTCCTGTGACCTTAATTAAAATTAAGACTAATTCATACCAAAAATAAACTTTCCTTAAATACTTCTGTAAATTTCTGGTCTCTGCGAACATCAGAAGGTTCTTCGATTTACTGTCAATCTTCAGTACTTTCAATCTCCCCCTTTGGCTGATAAATCGAAAACCATGAACCTGCAAAGATGAAACAAATAAAAAAGCTGCAGAATACACAACTTCCTAAGAATACTAATATCACACATGTGTTGTTCTAAGGAACAACTTCAAATACCTGAATATCAGCACATTAGTTCACAAAATATCCCACAAAAGTTCATCAAACGCAAGTTAATAAAGCACAAGGAAAGAAGTTCAGGAAAAACACACAAAACAGAGTTTTTATTAAGAGACAATGAATATCCTACTGGGAGATAGCTATGCAGATTCTTCCCCAGAACCTTCTTCAGCACCATCCTCAGTCCCTTTCTCTGAGCTTGCCTCCTTTTCCTCATCCTTGGTATCAGATCCAACTTCTTCATCCTCTCCTTCTTCTGAACCTTCTTCATCTTCTTCCACAACCTTTTCCTTTTCTTTGTCCTTAGCAGCAACAATCTTCTCTTTACCTTTTTCCTTAGCAGCAGCAGAAGCCTCCTTTGACTTCTTTTCTTCAGTAGACCCGGTCTTCTTCTCCCCCTTGGCAAGAGCTTTCTTCTCCCCCTTAGCAAGAGCTTTCTTCTTTGCAGCAACAACATCCTTCTTTTTCTCCCCCTTTTGTCGATTTAGAGACCAACGGGGCACGAGACTTCAAAGCACCCAGAACCTCCTTGTAGGACCTTCTCTGATCAGCCAACTTCTTTTCAAGCCCCGCGAAAACTGCCACTTGATGATTTAAAAATCCGCGACGCTGTGAAGGTACATCAGAGGCCTTAACAAGAGAAAGACGAGGCGGAGCAACCTTAACACCGGCAAGGGCAAGAGGTTTGTTAACAGGGGCATGACTATCACCAAGTCGAGGATCCTTTTTCACCCCAGCCTTAAAGAGAATAACACATATGGTAGATGGATACAACATAAACTTATGAGGCTTGGAGATCTCCGCAATGCTTACCACAACATCAAAGATCACATAACCAACATCAAATGGGGTACCATTCAGAATACGATAGATAACACGAGCTTGCGTAGAAGTGAAAAACTGCTTGTGAGTGGTAGGAGTCCGATTTGACGCGTCTATCTTCTGTAGAGCATTGGCAGGCGGAGTCAGACTTTTCACAAAGATTCCCGGAGCAAACCATTTGCTAAGTTGTCCACCAGTTAAGGTGCGAGCAACTTCATCAAGATCATCAGTCAGAGGACGAAGTGAGGAACCTTCAACTAAACCCAGTACAAAGTCAACAACAAACGGAGAGAATTCAACCACACTATTACGCACAAACACTTTCTGAAACTTCTTTGAGGACGAATTAACGATAGAGGTAGTCAGGTTCGAATAAAATTCACCAACAAGCCTGGGACAATACTTTCCAACAGACGCAACTGAGCCCCCAAGACCCATTTTCTTCAGAAGTTCAATCAACCCAAGTTGTTCATAGTGTTCGCTATCAATCGTCCGCTCAGGACGGAACTTCATTTGAGAAAAGATGGTAGAAAAGCGTGTGTCAGCCAAAGGAGAATAAAACTGACGAGAAAATGCATTACCAACAGTAAGAGGACTGTCTGGACCATCACCCTCGACTTCAACAACAATTTGTTCTTTTTCAAGAGGAGAAAGTTCCTTGTCCGTAGTATGTTTGTTGTCTGATTTCTCAGGTTCAGCAACATAGTTGGTAACCTCACGTTCAATAGAATCAGCATCAGAATCCAGAGATGACTCTTCTCCAATTTTTGTGTGAGAAGGAGTACCAGCAGCAGGTTCAGGCACATGAACGACTTTCTTCGCCTATTTGGTTTTGGGTGCGACGGTTTCGGCGACCTTCTTGTGTTTCTTTGGAGATTTGACGACAGACGGAGAACCTTTTCCTCCTTTGTCACTAGGTTCGGCGACTTCAGGTTGAGAAGCATTAGTCGTTGAGGATTTTTTAGGGCTTGGAGAAACCGTAGTTGTGGATTTGACGGGAGGTTAAATGTTCTCGGTTTCGATGGTTGAAGGATTTGGATCTGGTAGAGTATCGGAACTTTGGCTTTGACGAGTTGAGCGCCGAGATGGCGGAGGAACATTCTTCTTCGGCTTCACGGTGCCCTGCTTGGATTTAGGCATTGTCGAAAAGTAGGGAATTTCGTGAAGAAGAAATGTTAGAGAGATGAGAGAGATAACAAAAATAAAAGATTGAAATAGATATGAGAGAGATATGCACAAGGTGGTATGATTGATAAAGGGAACTGCAATTTCAGTTATCGAGGATGGTTTGAAAACTGTTCGACTCGGCAGATTTGAAATTCAAATTCGACCAACATTTAGTGCCAGCAAAAAAAAAAACCGGTCCCTCCAAAATAAAAAAAAAAAAAAAATTGATACCAAGTTGCAACATGGTTACCATATATAACGTATGAAATTTCAGACATGAATATCGGCCAAATCATGTACCAAAAATAATTTAAGGCACAAGATTGAAATAATATATGTCATGAGAGAAAACTGGATGCACATGCCTAAAATAGATACATAACACGCAATACCCTAAAATTTTCTTTTTACGCAATATTGATAAGATTCATTAATTGATTGACCCATAAATCTTTCCAAATCAATTTGAGGCGAGCTCGACACTAACAAGATGATGAGAAAATATATTCTCTTCGTACACAACTCAGCCCTTATTGCTCCCACTTTTATATAACACGGAATTAATATAAGTTCGTTCATCACTTTCTCTTAGCAAAAAACGAAATTTTCGTTCGCAATTCAGCCTCAATACTTATGATGAACTTACTTTGTTCTATGAACTTCCACACCAATTCACTTGCTAACATCAACTATACGCCAATGTCAAGCCCATTACTTGAGGTGTGAATCATCCCGCAAAATGTTTCAATTTTGAACAAGCTGAGAAGATATCAGGATGGTGACATTATTTCACCAGAGAACGTTCATTCTTAGAATGTTTACCTGTAGCTATCACACCTCGATTATTATTAGACACATAACTCGTTTCACAGGTGATCAAGGAAGCACCTCATGTGATAGTTGCCCGATGCCTATTTTCACGAGAGCAGCTCTTACAAGTATATTAAAATGGTCATCATGACGAGCTCTTACAAACTGACCAGTTAGAATTCACAGACCAACAATCAACAAACTTAACAATAAATGATCAAAGAAGAGTTCCAGGGATGAACCTACATACTAAGATGCCTAAAACGAAGAAAAAAGAAAGAGAAAAAAAAACTCCTATATACAATATACACGATATATATATAAATGCAACTGACACAATGCATATAAATCATATAGCACACATTCCTAAAGATTTTCTCAGGGACAAAAATCGTTTCGAATCTAGAGCTTTAGTGAAAATATCAGCAAGCTGATCATCTTTAGGTACATGATCTAACACAATAACCCCATCTTCTACCAAATTACGAATAAAATGATAACGAATGTCAACATGCTTGGTACGAGAATGTTGGACATGATTTTTCGAAATGTTTATAGCACTAGTGTTGTCACAGAAGAGTTGAGCCGAAAGAACGTTCATACCATACTCAGATAGAATCTGTTTCATCCATACCAACTGAGAGCAGCAGCTTCCAGCGGCAATGTACTCGGCTTCAGCAGTAGACAGGGAGATGCAGTTTTGTTTCTTGCAGAACCAAGATACCAAGTTTGATCCTATGTAAAAACACCCACCAGAGGTGCTTTTTCGATCATCAAGATTTCCAGCTCAGTCAGCATCACAATAACCTGCAAGATGTAAGTTCGTATCAGCAGAGTAGAATAGACCATACTCTGTTGTACCTCCAATGTACTTTATGATGTGCTTGACTGCTTTCATATGTGATTCCTTGGGGGCAACCTGATACCTAGCACACAATCCAACACTAAAGCAAATGTTAGGTCTACTAGCAGTGAGATACAAAAGACTACCAATCATACTTCAGTAGAGAGTTTGATCAACAGATGAACCTTCATCATCATTGGACACTTTTACATGAGTGCCCATGGGAGTTTGAGGACATTTAGCGTTTTCAAGAACAAACTTTTTAACAATATTATTTGCATACTTACCTTGATGCAAGAAAATACCCTTATTACCTTGCTTTAACTGAAGTCCAAGGAAGTACGAAAGTTCACCAACAAGACTCATCTCAAATTCAGACGACATAAGTTTCACAAAGTGATTGACCAGCTTCTTGGATGTTGATCCGAAGATGATGTCGTCGACATAGATTTGGACAACCAATAGGTCCTCATTCTTTCGAAGAGCAAAGAATGTCTGATCTACTCCTCCTCTC